TGGGTTTAATCACTCATTTGATTTTTGACATCTCATTTAAATATTTAAAGACCTGGTTTTGGCCTCCAAAAGAAGTTACAAGCTTTGATAACTTCTTCAGATCTAGGTCAACTTGTGCAACAAAGATATATTGTGTCCCAAATGTTCCTTCACATGAAATATTCATGATGTTTAGACTTTATTTGGTAGTATTACTAGGTTTCACCTAGGTTTCAGGCTAAATTTTCTGGTGTTAATGACTGTCTTTATCCTGCAGATAAGTTAAATTCATTTACTTTAATGTCACAGAGGTCATATTAGGTTAAGTGAAGAAATGTATTATTTTCTCTTCCAAAATGCAAAATACAAGGTTTTCACCATATGATTAAGATTCTATTAAAGGAAAAGGGGACTCAATCACTATATGTTTGCTTGTCAAAATACACTATTCAATCTTAAATCTTGTCAAAGATAAATAAACTGCAACAGAAAGACAAACCAGCTTTTTAAAAATGGGAAGGATACTTTTTATATGTTATTTATGTTATTTTTTAAATAATTTTTTGAGCAACAAATAGCAATGTGAGTTTCAAACCTATTAGTAGGACAGTTTCAATAATTAATACATTGCACATTGTTGTCTTCTTTGTGGTTATTCACAGTACAAGATGCAGAGAAAGGATACTTTGCATGGAAGGAAATCCATCCACTACTAAGCTGGGGCTAAATGTATACTTGTGTTTTTCCAGAGAATGCTAGTGAACCTATTTGGGTACCACAGTATATTGTCAGACTGTACAATGAAGCCAGACAGACCTGAACAAAATATTAACAGCAATAAGGCTAATTTCAGCCCAGGGCATATTCAAGGAACTAACCAAATGGAAATCTAAGGTGTAAATAGGTGATAAATATGTAAGAATAATTAAGTTAATTTTTATTAATATTAGTATATGTTGAAAATATATAAAAATCCAAAACATACATACTAATTATAGACAAAAGATTTTTTTTGTTCCAAATTTTTCTAAGGAGAAATCGCTGATAATTGAGAAAAAACAAAACCCACTTAGGCTACTTATAATGATAAATTTCTAAAGCATGTAATAGAATTACTACATCATAATTTGTCCAGGGATTTAGAGTGCACTCTTAATTTTGTAAGGGTGTTTGCTTGTGTGTTCTAGGTTTTGTTTATGTGTCTTGCAGTGAACAGCTTTTCCTCTTCTTTCTTTTTTGATAATTTATTCTAAGTATAATTTAAGATACAGACTTAAAGCATGCTTTTTCCTAAATTACCAGATAGTCAAAGTGATGTCAAAATTGGTGTATACAGTTCATCAAAGTTTTCAAGCATTCAATTAATGAAAAGATGTGTGGCCAAGCTTTTTATTCATTAACGAGAAGTTTTCAATAATCTCAATAGTCTCTTTGGAGACATCTTCAATAAATTGATCATTGCTTATAAGATCAAGTTTTTAAAATAAAAATTACATTAAGGTTTTCTCTTAAAGTGGTTTTGGTACAAAAGTAAATTAAGAAACAGTTTCTCACATGTGTATGCTAATTCATTATTGTTAACCTCACAGTGTATTAAGTGCATGTATGATTTCAGGTATACAGAGCCTAATGGGGCAACCCCTCTGTGTTTTATGATAAACATCCTTGAGAAGTCAGAGGGCTTTTGTGTTGGAATCTTACTTTGGGGCCAAAGGGTGAAGAACCATAGAGACACTCGGACTCCTCCTCCTTGGGAATTAATATATTACGGCCTTTTTTGCCATGATTCCTTCCTGTTTGACAGACTGGACTCCTTGTTTTATAATTTGAAGTACTTGAGATGTACTTTTACTAATTTTATACCTCAGCTGCGCTAGGTTCTATTTTTTTTACTGCTTGAATGGATCCCCTATATTCTTACACCTGTCATCCTAAAAGAATCCAGGTATGGGAAATCTGCTCTCTGTATTATCAAATTAGGTAAGGCCCTGTCCTGATCCAAGCACTTCATAGGACTGTGAATTGTGAGTATAACTGCTGTGATGGAAATCCCAAGAGCAGTAGTTGCACTAGACACTGCCTTCATTAGGAAGTACAAAGTGGCAAATTTGTAAATGATTTATATTTATGGTGGGAGGTACAAGCCTTGAAGATTAGTCTACACCTGTACTGTCCTGGGGTTTATCAATTCATTTGTGTAACTCCTACTTTGTACATTAATGCCAGCTATGAACAGGAAAGGATACATGCTTTCAGTATGGGAGTGTGGATCCATTCTGATATGGGTCTGACCCTATCTCATTATATAAAGAAATTGTGTATATAAATTCTGAACATGATCCCACTACTGATCCTTCCACTTTGGCATTAAATAGTCTTTTTAAAAGGTTCTACTAGATGGTTAAGACCAGGTTAAAGCAAGACCTAAATAATTCAAAATGTAACTTGTGCTATCTGAGAAGGTCACTCAAATCTCCGCAGGATTTACCCTGGAACATTGTGGGCCTTTTGTCAGTGTCAACCATCTCGATGAGTCAAAGCTATTGCTTGACCATTTTTCTCTCTGTGAAAGCCTGAGAGCATTTCTCTGTCTATTTGAGTCACCTTAGGCACACTCTACATTGTTAATCACTTTCTTCCCTGGCCCTATAATCTCCTTGATCAGAAAATTTGAGACACCACTGAGTTACAGGATGTCACAGCGGAGCTTTGCTCATGTCCTGAATCCTCACTGACCTTAACCATCCAGCAGAAAAGTGTAACCACGAGGCATAAAAGTAAATCTATATCAATATGCTGAGCTGTAAAAGGCTCACATCAACAACTTCAGACAATTGTCAGTTGTGCTGATAACCCAGTACCATTATAGACTATTGGGGTATATTGGATAATTTTGCTAAATTCAAGTACTTAAAATCTTTGGTCTTGCATCAAACATGAAAAAGTTCTTTAAAGACTTCTCCAAATATTGCTAGCAACAATGGAACACCCATATCTGACAAAACAAAGCACAAAGTGGATATAAAACAGGAACTTATCTTTAGCGTGTGTGTGTGTGAAAAAAATATATATATGTGTATATATACAAGAGAGTTAGGATAGATATACAACTACGTTCTCTTAGTTGAATGAGAGGAATTGTTTGTGCTAATATTGTTTAGACAAGATCTCATGTCTCCATCTTGTCCTCTGAATAACTACTAGGAAGACAACAATATGCAATCTATTAATTATTGTAACTGGTACACTAACCTGTCATCTTTAAACTGTTGAATTTTTATTTTTTCTTTTTTTCCATTATGATGAAAAATAGATAAAAAATTTAAAAAGCTCAAAATATATTTTCCCTACATAGCTTATAGTCTTGGCTCTTTTCTTTGGTCATTCCAGCTGTCTTACTATTGATTCAGCTTTGTATTTTGCCAGAAATCATTGGCTGGACCTAAAGGCAGCTATATAAGCTCTGGGTCACCTTCCACAAATTACAATTAACAAAAAAAGGAGAGACTTTGGAGGCCAGACCTCGAAACTGGATTCACTTTGTTGAAGTAACAGTCTGATAAGGAATTAAAATGTGGCAATGTGCCCAGCTTCTTTATCCCACCATTTGCACAATGTCTCAATGATGGACTCAATGTTGCTTCTATTTATCAGCTTGGTCCTGTGAAACTGTTCTGGCCGAGGTAAAATAAGAACGCTTAGAGTTAACTAGGACAAAGTGTGGGCATAGAATCAAGGTTGTCTATATAAAACCTTGAAGAAAAGTAAACTCATAGCTGGTTCTGAAGTCCAGATCTCTTAAGTCCAGCTTTCTTTCCTTTCATTGCATCCTCCCCCTACCTTGATCCCCTCAAAGAGGGCTGGATCCCTGAAATACTTTATATGAAGCCCAAAGAAGAGGTACATCCTCAGGCTACACATTCGGCTCTGCCATGTTCAGATATTCACAGATAGAATTTCTTGATCTTAGTGGGAAGAGCAGAGAGGAGAGACTGATAAAAGCAGCTACAGGCAGCCATGTTACTTTAGAACTTCTAGGCTTACAAATTATCCCCAGAACAGATGAAAAATGAGTGGTTAGAAATATGTCATGTATAAATATTTTAATATGCCCGATATTTAACAGGGACAGGAGAGAGGACCTTCCAAATTTCATGAAGCTTCATATTGATAGCAATATTTGTGTTACAGAAGATAAATAAGTATTATGTAATTTAGCTATTTAAAGTTGTACATAGCTCCTCTCATTACAGGCATGGAATGAAGCAGCATACTTATAAAATATTCTTTACACACACAATAAATTTAATTCAATAAAATGTGCTAAAATAAAACCCAAATATTGCAGAAAAGGATAGCTGTGTGAAAATTACCCGAGAGAAACATCAGCATTTCTGACATGGGTATTAAAATTGCTCTCCAACATTTGTGTACAGATTTAGTATTCTGTTCTAAAATCGCATAAATATAAAATAAATTCTTACAAGGAGTGCTGGATGGAGCCACAGAGGTATATTAAGAATGCTAGTTCCATGGGAGGGTCACAGATGGTGGAAAACATATATGTGATGCTGAAGTGAGACTGATAAGAGGGAAAAGTGGGGACAGAATTTCCTAAAAAATCTGAACTGCATCAGTAAATCTTATGTTCAAGGTTCTGTGGATTAGGGATGGAATGGAAAAGGGAACACCAAATGTCACAGGACACAAGACTTCCCATACCTCTCCTAACAGACAGAATAAGCAAGGCCAAGATTCTGGGTCAGATGCACATTAAATTATGTGTCCTAGTATTTCTTAAGCTTTCAAATTAAGCAAGGTTCACCTGTCATACAGTGTCAGTTGTTTGTAAACTTCATATGTATTATTTTAGGTTCGTATTCAAGTCAATTGTATCACACGTGGCACAGTCTTGTTCATCTCCTTTTAACACCAAAATAGAGAAATAGGAGGAGGAATCTCAAAACATCAGCATCAGGGTCATAGTAAAACAGAAAACAGAGGCATGGACAATTACTCACAGATAGAGAAGCAGGACAATGAGAGCCAGGAAAAACCAGGTTTCCTTGTAAAAGTTCCAGATCAGATCCATTGTGGATTTATTCAAGCTTCACTTTGAATTTTCAGGCAGGTAACTGCAGACCTCCACCACTCACTCTAAATCAGTGAAGAAAGCAGGAATGTATATGGTCTGGGAAAGGAGGTGGGATATGACCTTCAGCCAGTAGGAGGGCCTCCTTGTAACACCTGATTTGGAGAAGTCCAGTGCCCATTCCAGCATGGCAAATGATAATCAAACAAGTACATCTAGTTTGCATCTTCTCTGTTGCAGTCTATGGGAAAATCAATATAGAACTCAATCTTCCAAAGTTCAGAACATTCATTCTCATTGGAATCTCTAATAAATCTGAGAGGATTAAATATTGTCCAACTGGCCCTTATCTCCTTGCTATCCTCATTTTGAAATATTTATTTTTAGTCCTTTTAAAACAAGTTTGTTCTACAGATCTTTATCCATGCAATTTCTTCACCCTAAAATCTCATGAGCCCTATTCTAGACTCCTCGTCATATTTCACTTTGGGTCAAAAACAGATCTAGTGGTTTTCTCTTACCAATTGCTTGCATCAAATCAAGTTGTTTCTTCCTCTGGCCAAATTCTATCTCCCTCACACACTTATATTGTCCTCTCCACTTAATTCCACTAATTCCACTATTTCTTATATCCATTTACTTCTTTTTTTCTGTACATGAGATTACCAATAAAACAAAATGGCTATTCTTCACTGATATGTCCCTACTCCCTGGGAGAATACACTTTACAGATTGAGCAACCAAAGAGCTTGGTTTTGTTGAGCTGGTTGAGCATCCTGGTATCTCCATGTGCTGTTTTTGTAAGCTTTGGGGGACAACAACATCTTCATGTATTGTTAAAAACACATGATAAGGCCTGTAGGTCAATCACCTACATGGTAAATTCAGTCTGATGACATCAGGTTAGCTTATGGGAGAAATGAAATAGATAAGGTGGACTTAAAATCTTCAACAAGCTGTTTCAATTTTTGTTGATTTCCACAGTTCCACTACAAGAACTGACATAGTAACATAGACAGATTATTCAAAAACAGGCTCCCAACTCTCAGGAATCCACATTTTCACAACCAGGGTTATGAACAGAAAAGGAACCCATAATAACAACCTGAATGGACAGATTGACCCCAACACAATGCTACTAATGACACTGTACACAACAGGCCACATATGTAACATAGAGTACTCAATCTCTGTAAGGATTATGTGCACTTTTACTTTGTGGCTCTGGTAGCCAGAGGAGATTGATCTTGGCTTCTCTGTAAATGTTTGAGAACATAAATGGATATAAAATGGGGTTGGCAGCTGCATGACTTTACATTCCCATCAACCATGGAGAAGAGTTGCTTTGTCCCCACAGCCTCTCTGGCATTTATTATTAGGTGATTTATTTATGATAGCCATTCTTTCTGGAGTGAGATGGTGTCTTAATGATGTTTCAATTTGCATTTCACAAATGCTCAGTGCTATGCAATATATTTTCATGGATTTATTTGTCACTTGTATTAATTTCTCTGAGAACTGTGTATTCATCTCAGATGCCCATTTTTGGATTGGATCTTTAAATTTTAGAGGCACAATATTTTAGGTCCTTATCTACTCTAGATAGAAGACTTGTGTCTGAGAGATTATTGGTAAAGATTTTTTCCCATTTGTGGATTGTGTTTTCACTCTGTTGGTGACTTCTTTTGACATGCAGAAATTTCTTAATAATATGTGAACTTAGCTAATCATTCTTTGAAGTAATTCCCACGCAGTTTGATTTTTGTTCAGGAACTGTCTGCCTAGCTCTATGTCTTCAGTATTTCCACCAAATTTTTCTTTCAGGAGATTTAGTGTTTCTGTTTTAATGTTTAGATCATTAATCAATTTTGACTTTATCTTAGTGCATGACTATAGATCCAGGTCTACTTTTAGGTTACAGCATTAACAGAGTCAGTTTTTCCAGGACCAATTGTTAAAGAGACTTTCTTCCAGTGAACATATTTGGCCTCTTTCTCAAAGACAAGATGGTTGAGTATGTTTTCACTGCATCTCCATCTTCCTTCTTTCTTTTTCTGTTTTTTTAGAGGAGAAAATGTTTATTTGGCCCACAGTTTGTAGAGGTCTCAGTCCACAGTTGGTTGGCTCCAAGGCAGGGTGACATGGGAAAAGTGCATTGCGAGCAATAACTATTCATGGCAGAGAGAAAACAGAAAAAGCACACAAGGAAACTTAGCAGCTTCTTTCTGCCACTTTTAAATTTTATCTATGACACCAATCTTAGGTGCCAAAACCATCAGTTGACTGATTTAGTAATAATGCACACTTAATCAAAATACTCTTAATCCTAGCATTCTACTGTAGATCAATCCCTGTATTATACTTTCTAGATCCAGCTACCTTTGAAAAGCTCTACCTATGACTGCATGAGACTTTGTGGTTACATCTAGACATAAATCATAACATTCTGCCCCTGACTTCCCAAAGAGTCATGAACGACCCATTAGTCCATCTTGAAATTTAGCATTTAGTCTCTCTCTAAAGTTTCCAAAGTCCTAACAGTTTCATCATTGCTGAATAGTCCAAGTCCAAAGTTTCCTCTGAGATTTAAGGCAAACTTGGGCTCTGTACAAAGGAAAAAAAATGCCATGGCACAAGATAAACATTACCACTTCAAAAGTTGCACATGTGGAAGAGATAGAAAAGAATAAGATTAAATCAAATTAAAACTCCAGCAGAGAGCTGCCGAGTTCCTGGAGCCCCCAGACCCAGTCCTAGCCCAGGTCCGGTGACTGTGCGGATGGCTTCCTGCTACCCTGCGCCAGCTGGACCAGTCCCAGCCCAGGCGCAGAGTGGGCCAGACCCTCTCCAGCCCCTTGGGCCGCCCCTCACCACTCCGCAGTGCCTCCCCCACCCCGCCCGGCGAGTAGGATTTTCTGCCGAGTTCCTGGAGCCCCCAGACCCAGTCCTAGCCCAGGTCCGGTGAGTGTGTGGAGAGCTTCCTGCTACCCTGCGCCTGCGGGACCAGTCCCAGCCAAGGAGCAGAGTGGGCCGGAACTTCTCCCAGGCCCTTGGGCCGCCCCTCATCACTCAGCAGTGCCTCCCCCACCCTGCCCGCCGAGTAGGAATTTTTGCCCTGTCCCGGAGCCCCCAGACCCAGTCCTAGCCCAGGTCCCCTGAGTGTGTGAGGAAAGCTTCCTCTTCCTCCTACTTCACCTTGCCCCCTCCAGGCACAGCTCAGGCCTGGCATACATGCCTGAGGTGTAATCCTGCAGCTGCAATCCCTGCAGGGGACAGTGTAGAGAATAGATCCAACCAGCTAGTCCAGGAGCAGAACATCTCACCACAGGGGCACAACAGGTTCACCCTTAAGGGCAGCAGCAGGAAGGATTGAGCACAGCAGCCAGACCAAAGCCAGACGCAGCTGGATAAGTCTAAACTTTGTAGAGCTGCACCTGAACTTCAGTACGTGTGAAGGATATAACTTCAGCAAAGATCTACAACAAAGGTCAGAAGACAGTGCTACACAAAATGATGAGAAGGAACAAAATGCAACCTCAGAACCCAAGCCCACCTGTAACAAGTACAGAGGACACTAACACAGAAAAAATTGGAAATCACACAGCTGAAAGCAATGAAACAACGGCTTCTGAAATAAAGAAACAGCTGCAGAAAGATATAGAAGACGTCAGATTGGAAATGAGAAAAGAAATCCTTGAATTAATAACATCTGAACTAAAGAATCAAATGCAGAAACATATGGAAGAAACCCAGCGCCCACCCAGAACAAGTGCGGAGGGCACTAGCTCGGCTCAAATGCATGAATTAAGAGCGTCAATAGTAAATAAGCAACAGCAGAAAGATAGAGAGGAAATCAGAGCGCAATTCTTTTCTGAAATAAAAAAAGAACTCTCAGAACTCATAGCAGATGAAGTAAAGAAGCAACTACAGAAACATAGGCAGGAAACCCAATCTGAAATAAACACTGCAGTGGAAGAATTTCTAACTGCTTCTAAAGAAGATATTGATAAAAAAAAAATAGAGATTAGAAAAATGACGGATTTCCTGAACGAGCAATTCAGGAAAGAAATAGATCGCATGAAGCAGAGTCAAAGAGATATAGAGGAAATGAAACTCTCAATCACAAGCTTGCAAAACAGTTTAAATGAATGTGAAGACAGAGTTTCAAATGTTGAAGATGCTGGTGTAGCTAGTGAAAAGGTAAGAAAGGATCTCTTAAAAATCCAGCAGAGAAAAAAATTAAATATTATAGTTCTACATGCAGCATCTGAGGAAATTTGTGACGAGAAACAATCTGAAGGGCTTGTTTGGTTTTATCTCTGTGCCACTGCCAGTGGTTGTAGCTCCCACACATTTTTTTTTTGTGCTGTCTCTACTCCTTCCTTGCAGTTTTCCTTGTGTGATCTATGTTCCTTGATATTTCAAACTTCTGGGGTGTGGCGCCAGGGAAATGACTTAGTGGAATAAGTGCTTCCCTGGCAAGTGCAAGGGCCTGAATTAAATCCCTGGTTCTGAAAAACAAAATGCCTTTTGGGGTGTCCACAGGACCGTTGGCTTGCCACTCAGTAGCAACACTCCCCTCTCAGGGACACATGATGTGCCTGCACACCTTCTGAAATATGTGAAGAAGCTGTTCATTCTTCATGTATCTGAAATATGGATGATGTTAGGGTCTGCCACTAAATGGACCAGTAGCCATACATCTTTATTTCTTGGATGTAGAAGTCAAATGCCTAGATACTGAACACTCTAAACTTCATCCAAAAGAACCAACTCTCTAGACCACTGACATTACAAAACCTGGTACTATGGAGGTACCTCTTCTTAAAGCAAAGTCTTTGCCCATTGCAACTATTAACTTGAAAGCTTAGAGTCCTCCTGGTTCTTGTGCTATCCTCCGGCCATCTTCTGTGTTGTTTTCTGAAATACTTATCTTATTTCTTGCTACTATTTTCATTGACCAATTTTTCCTGTGTTCTTTGTGTTCTGGAGGTAGATTTCCCGAAGCTTC